AGCCCCATTGTAAACTCTAGTGTTCTGCAAATATAAACTATTAATCTACAGCCATAGTCAAAGGAGGGAACATCTTTAGGGTGAAACTAAGATAATGCTTAGCAAGTATTTAGTGAGCACCTGCTATGTGCCAGGGACTGTAGTAGGTGGTAGGGATTCAGTAGTGACCAAGACAGGAAGGTCCTACTGAGTTCACAGGATTAGAGGGAAACAGGTAAGTAAACAAAAGACAAGATGTTAAGTACTTATCAAGGAGATAAAGGATACATCCACATTCATAGAAAATGAGTATTTAGTGAGATGAGATGCGAAATGTAAGGGATGCGTGGAAAAATAAGTAACCCAGCAGCAGTTTCTTTAATATTTATTGTGACCAGTTTACTTTGGGGGAGGGTTGTTTTTTGGAACCAGGATCAGAATGGCCACTGGTGGCTGTTGTTAATGTAGGGCAGGCAAAAATTTCACCTCTACCTCTTTAGGGTCTCTGGTGGGCAGGGCCTGAGAATTAAATGGACATAAAAGGTTAACAGAACAAAAGCATACAAGTTTATTTAATGCAAATTTTACGAGACCCAGGAGCCTTCATAAGAAGATGAAGACCCAAAGAGGTGGCAAAGCTAAATGTTTACATACTGGGTTGAACAAAGAGTGGCAACTGTGGAAAAGTAAAGTAGAACAGGGAGACTAAAGGAATATGAGTTACTTTAACAAGGTCTCCATGTGCAAATTCTTCCAGACTCAAGCGCCTCTCTGGTGCTGTTTCTTTCCTCTTGGCACTGGAAGCACAGTTCTCACCTGAGAGTTTCATCTTCTCCTTTCAGGATGAGAAAATGGGAATCTGAGTGCCTTTTTTGCACCTGTTGTTTAAAAAAATGCCTTTAGCTCAAATTAATCAATATGCCAAGGTGGCATGTTTGGAGGTAGCATGTCCCAAACTCCTTCACTCACATTATCAATATCATTTCTCCATTGCTGGATTAGGAGCTCACCAAGGCAGAACAGTATCTTTTAATTAAATGTTGCAAATGCTGCAAGAAAAAGGAGATTTTAGGCTCCCTGAAAACAGCCAGAGACTTTTAGTTTGCACTTCTTACAATGCATAAAGACTTGTCAAATGTTGAATAAAAAAAATATTGAATAGGATGAGGTTTTTCTGCCTGGAAATCAGGGACTGAATTAGGAGGTATCCTCACTGCCAGTAATAGAGCAACATTTTTTGGTGGATGGTTTAATGTTTTGTTTTATTCTGCAAATGTGTGATGAGAAAGAGGTATGAACGAGTGTCATGGGTGCTGTGTACTTATTAAGTAATACTGATAAGAGTTTACGGTGGGGGGCGCCTGGGTGGCTCAGTTGGTTAAGCAACTGCCTTCAGCTCAGGTCATGATCCTGGAGTCCCGGGATCGAGTCCCACATCGGGCTCCCTGCTCGGCAGGGAGTCTGCTTCTCCCTCTGACCCTCCCCCCTCTCATGCTCTCTCTCTCTCTCTCATCCTCTCTCTCAAATAAATAAATAAAATATTTAAAAAAAAAGAGTTTATGGTGGGTAGAGTGTGAACTTTGGTATCAGAATATCTGAATTTGACCAACACTCTGCAGGACCTTTTATAGTCACTTCACCCCCCCAGACTCCAACCTCTGCAGCTGTGAAATGAAAAGTATGTTTTCCAGGAAGTTAATATATAATGTCTAAACCAATAAGGAAAAATAACAGTATTAACATATTGTTTAAAAATACAGTTGACTCTTGAACAACGTAAGGGTTAGGGCTACCAAACACCCCCTGTCCCCCAAGCCTGTGCAGTCAGAAATTTGCATATAACTTTTGACTCCCCCAAAACTTAACTATTAATAGTCCACTGCTGGCTGGACACCATACAATAACATAAACAATAACATAAACAGTCAATTAACACATATTTTGTTCATTATATAAAGTAAGCCAGAAAACAGAAAATGTTAAGAAAATCCTAAGAGGGACACCTGGGTGGCTCAGTTGGTTGGGCGTCTGCCTTTGGCTCAGGTCATGATCCCGGAGTCCCAGGATTGAGCCCCTGGTCGGACTCCCTGCTCAGCGTGGAGTCTGCTTCTCCCTCTGCCCCTCTGCCTACTTGTGCTCGCTCTTTCTCTCAAATAAAAGAAAAATCATAACAGAAAATACATTTAGAGTACTGAACTGTGTTCATCGAAAAATATCTGTGCAGACCCACGTAGTTCAAGCCTATGCTGTTCAAGGGTCAACTGTATTGAGACAATTACAAGAAATAATTTAAAGAGTTGAAAATATTTGCCTCTGAAAAGCAGGGTTGAGGGGCAGAAAGGGCTGAGTCAGAAGACTGCTGTTTTTCATTATGAGCCTTTTAAAGCCTAATCATGAGCTATAGCGGCGTAACAAAATCTGAGTCCTACAGTCTGCCATTTGGCTGTGGTGACTGCCTCGGGCACAGGTACAGGTTCCACATGTGTTCATTCTGAAACCCAGACTGAATGGGCAGCAGCAGCAGCCCTGGAGTAAAGCTCTTCATGCAACAGTGCAAAAGTACAAGAGAGCAAGCCTGGTCCCCAGGTCAGTGCTTTTCATCAAGGCTTTGCTCAGGCCTCATCTGTTAACATTCTATTAGCTAAAACAAGGCCAAACCTGGGAAGCCTGGGTGGCTCAGTTGGTTAAGCGTCTGCCTTCAGTGGAGATCATGATCCTGGAGTCCTGGGATCGAGCTCCACATCAGGCTCCCTGCTTGGCAGAGAGTCTGCTTCTCCCTCTGCCCCCCCCCCCCCCCCGCTCGCTCTCTCTCTCTCTCTCTCAAATAAATAAAGTAAAAATCTTAAAAAAATAAATAAAAACAAGGCCAAAGTCAAGGGGCAGGGAATATCCTCCACTCAGAAGGTAAAAGAGGAAAGAGTGAATATTTCTAAAAGAAATAATACTTGAGTTGTAAACGCTGCATGCAGTGTATTCTTTGATAAAATCGATGCTGACCCAGGTCCATTTCAGATCTTGATGGTGATGCAGATGTCTCAGGAGTGTTAAGTCAGGTTCATTCTCTCTCTCCCTTTCACTGCTAAGCCCATCTGTCTTGCCATTTTTGTTTTGTGCTGGCTATCTCATGCTGCAGCAGGCCACCAGCATGGTTGTCTCCTTATAAGAGTTTACTACCGGCACTGGAACACAACAGCCCATCCGCGCTTGGTTTTCCTTCATCTACCTAAATCCCTCCTTGGTTTTTGAAACACACATCTGACCACTTGCCTATTTCCCACCATACTTCAAAACTGAAAGGGGGTGTCTTTTGCCTGCTTCCTTTGCAAATAACCAAAGATGAAGTTATTCCAGAACTCCCAAAATGTTTTCTTAAAATGCCAAATGATTAAAGACACTTAAAAATTTTGCACAATGCGGTGTTGCAATTTATACATTCACAATTCTTAAAATTATTAAAAACCACTCTAACCATCATTGTAAGGATCTCATGAAAAACATTAAAGTGCTCTGTAAACGAACAAAGGAATGTAAGTTATTTCTTGAAAATAAATGTTTTTAAAGGCTAAACTGAAATTTCAAAAACACCGACATATTTAAAATACTGTTTGACCTCACATTACTGGCAAGAGCGGTAAGTGACTCAACTGGTACGGAGCTGCTCCAATGTATTTACCACTTCTGGGAATTTACCCTCCAGTTTTACCTACACAAGTAGGGCATATGAATAAGGTGATTCAATGCAATGCTGTCTGTACAATAAAATGACTGCAGGGGCGCCTGGGTGGCTGAGCTGGTTAAGCATCTGACTTGTTGATCTCAGTTCAGGTCTTCTTCAACTCAGGGTTGAGAGTTCAAGCTGCAGGTTGGGCTCCATGCTGGGCTGGGAGCCTACTCTAAAAAAACAAAAAACAGCTGGAAATAACCTAAGCGTTATCGGTAGGGCACCGATAAATAAACTATGAGACATGTCACAATGGCATACTATCTGAAAAAAAGGAAGTTCCTTTTGATAAGGAAAGATCTCCAACATATTCACTTAATACGGTGGTGGCAGGGAGAGGACAGAACAATGTATACAGTCTGGTACATTTCTCTAAGACAGAAGTAAAACAATGTATTTGCTTGTGCTTGCATAAGGAAATCCTGGAAAGATGCTCAGGAAACTAATATAACGTTACCCGCAAGCAGCCTGGGAGCAGGGATGGAACTGGATGGGGACAATGGGACTTTGTAATGTTAACTATCAGGTCCATGTGCTCAGCAGTGCTCTAACCCTGTGGGTGCAGAGGCAGCACTGGGATCTTTGGGATACAACACCCTTGAGAAACTAACACACGTGAAATTAACGCACGCACACAAATGCTAAGAGTCGCACAGGCTCGGGGGACCGGTGCGACACAAGATTGGGAACACCTTTAAATCATAATAGGTCGGAGGGGACGTGGGAAGGTGCTCCAGGAAAGGGACACCGAGTGCGCGGAAGAAGCGTGAAGGCACAACTCCACTCCGTGAAAACGCCTCTGCACAGCAAACCGCCACAGCTCTCGGGGGGACTGCGCGCCTCCAGGCTTCGGCCACAAGCGGGTTAACTCCAGCGGGCGCCGGCCGCGGGCCGGACCGCGCCATTCGGGGCGGGGGAGATTTCGTGAGGATGCGTGAACCAGCAGGATTCTCGTGGTGCTGGGGGTTCCAAATGGAAACATCCCTGCACTCACAGTGAGGACTCGGAAAGGCCGACCGTCCCCCGCGGCTGTCCTAGGTGGGCTCAGCCGGATGTGACGTAAAGGAGGGAGCGGCACCAGTCTGCGCAGAGCCGTGCAGGAGGAGGTGGAGCCTGGGCGGCGTGCGTCTGCGCAGTACTTGGGGGACGGGCCGAATGAGAAGCCGGGCGGCGTGCGTCTGCGCAGTGCAGGGCCGGGGGCGAGGGGGAGAACATGGAGGGGTCTGCGCGGCGGGCGTCTGCGTAGTACCGAGGGGGCGGGGCAGAACGAGAAGCCGAGCGGCGTGCGTCTGCGCAGTGCGCTTCTGAGGGCCCGAGCTCGGGCGACGTGTGTGCGTGCGTGCGTGCTCGCGTGCGTCCCCGTTTAGTCCGGTGGTTCGGTCGTCCCCGGCGCGGAATTGCTGCCGAAGGGGCCGAGGTTCCTTGTCTGTGGGTACAGAGTCGAGGTTCGGGTCGGGGTATGGGGAGCGCTGCGGCCGGCGAGGGGGCCACGGGCAGCCCGGCGCGAGCCTCGGAAGGGGGCGCGGGAGGACGGGGTCCCGCTGCGGCTGCGGGGTGTGCGGCCTTCCGGCAGGAACAAACGGAACGGCCTCGTGTTCTCCGGGGTTGTGTGCATGGCATCCCACCAGTTTGCAACTGCTCAGTGCTGTGTTTGCTGAAGTGGTTTCATTAGTGTATGTTTTGCATGGACAGCAAACTCCACAAAAAGAACAGGCTAAAAACTGTCCGGACCCCCTCTTGGCAGCGGTCCTCTACAAGGAGACAGCGAAGTGTAAAGAGCGGGTCCAGTTGGGTTGGGTTTAGTGGGGGAATTCCCATCTTTCTACATCATTAAAAAAAAATGTGAAATATTTAGCACTGTTAACTTTCCAGACTTTTTAGTGCAGTTATTGGAACTTAGAAAATCCCCTCCAAAAATTTCACCGGCTCATTGCTGAAGACTGTGTCTGTAGCTTTTTGCCCATGAAATTAAGTTTAGTCGTTTCTCTGAAATAGTATTTCCAAAATAAGACTCTCTGCCCGCATTTTGTGAAATGCAAGACCCATGTATTTGTGTTTTAGAAAATTTTGGTTGCAATAAGTTATTGTATATTGGGTTTATTTAAAAAACAAACATGGTAAAAGAAAATCCAAACAGTGCTAACACGTGTTAGCAACTTACTGTGTTTGCATCTCAAAATACAGCAGTTGAATGTGTAAACCAGTATTACCCTAAAGTGCTTTTTTCACATTCTGTTTATCAGGACGTTTTCTGTAGGAGGCACTTAGTTACTTTGCTTAAAAATGTTCCTAAACTTGAAGTTTTGGGCTATTTTAAGGTTGCAATGCAAAGTTTTTAGAAATTCTTCTTCTTCTTTTTTTAAGTAAGTCTTTAAAAAATACAACATAAAAATGGCTTCGAAAAGAGCTCTGGTCATCCTGGCCAAAGGAGCAGAGGAGATGGAGACAGTCATCCCCGTAGATGTCATGAGGCGAGCTGGAGTAAGTTCCCCAACGTTTTCTAGCCCTCCCCTTTTTCAGACATTGTTGGGTTTTGAAGTCATTTTTTTTTTTTAAGATTTTATTTATTTATTTGACAGAGAGACAGCGAGAGCGGGAACACAAGCAGGGGGAGTGGGAGAGGGAGAAGCATGCTTCCCGTGGAGCAGGGAGCCCGATGCGGGGCTCGATCCCAGGACCCTGGGATCATGCCCTGAGCCGAAGGCAGATGCTTAACGACTGAACCACCCAGGTGCCATGGGTTTTGAAGTCATTCTCAGTAAAATAATATTCAGTGTACTTTATAAAATATTTCAAACACACAAAAACAGTATATAATAATTACCTGTTTATTCATTGTCCACATTTAATACTTGTTAACATTTTGCCATATTTCTTGTAGACCCACTTCTTGAGGAACAGGTGCCTTAAAGAAATAAAGCATTGCAGAGCGCTCTTTGTAAATTTCCCCTGTACTATTCCCCTTCTGGCCCCAGCTCATTGATGTGTATCCATCCCATGCATGTCTTCAAAATAGCATTAGACTGCAGTTGCATTTTGCATGTGTCTCTCTCTTTCTATATATATCTGTAGTGAACACTTAAATAGCGTTTACTGATGTTAGAGGTGTTATTCTAAGCATTTACACAAACTTGCTTGAATCCTATAACAATCCTATGAGTTATTGCCGTCCTCATTGTACAGTTGAAGAAACTGAGGCACAGAGACACTAGCTAAGGTTGTAGACTTAGTAAGGAAAAGAGCCAGTACTTTAGCCTTGGCAGTCTGACCCCAAAGTCTGTTCACCCTTCATTTCTCTGGTTCTCGTGAATGAAGACACATCTAGATCCGGTTTGTTTGTTTAAAATTGCTGCTTATTAGGGGCGCCTGGGTGGCTCAGTTGGTTAAGCGACCGCCTTCGGCTCAGGTCATGACCCCAGGGTCCTGGGATCGAGCCCCGCATCGGGCTCCCTGCTCGGCGGGAAGCCTGCTTCTCCCTCTCCCACTCCCCCTGCTTGTGTTCCCTCTCTCGCTGTGTCTCTCTCTGTCAATTAAATAAATAAAATCTTTAAAAAAAATTGCTGCTTATTATTATGTGAATATGCTGCAGAATATCCATTCTTCTGTTCCGCTGTTTCAGGACATTATAATACTCTAATATTCTTGTACAGGTTTCCTTATGCAAACGCGTGGAAGTTTTTCCTGATTTTATGCCTGAAAGTGGAATTGCTTGGCCAAAGGACAGCATGACCAGATTTTGGCAAATGGCTCCCCAAAGTACCAGTGTGGTCCCACCAGCAGTATAGGAAAATTCCCATTTTCCCAGTACCAGCTCTTGGTTTTATTAACTTTGTAAATTTTTGCAAGCTAAAGTAGTATTTCATTGTTTTAACTTGTCTTTCTATCTTAAGGAAATGCCATGAGATTTAAATAGTGACAATAACTTTGCAAGATGGATTATTAACAGGATGAGCGCCCAAAGCAGGACATTTGTGGGAAAAGGGACACTAACCAGGCAGGGTACCAGGACAGCATCTATAAATCAGGACTGTCCCAGGCAAACTGGGACAGACCTAGTTATTAATTATATTTAGCTAACTTACTAGCTTAAAGTCAGCATGGTTTCGTTGCGGTATTTCCTGCCAAGTTATTTTAAAACAGCAGCTGTGAAAATGTTACTCTAAATTTATGTTTCAGTGTTAAATGCGATGACATCTTTCTCTTTAGATTAAAGTCACCATTGCGGGTCTGGCTGGGAAAGACCCAGTACAGTGTAGCCGAGACGTCGTCATTTGTCCTGATGCCAGTCTGGAAGACGCAAAAAAAGAGGTTTGTTCTTCAGACCTGGAATTATTCTTTCCTATGACTTCTTTATCAGGTTCTTCAAATGTCCTTTGATTACATCTCGGGCTGTTAGCACAGACTTATTTTAAGAAAGTTACTTTGCTTGGATGTCTTCCCCGCTATAATAAGCCCTGGGAAGTCGAGGACTCTGCCGTTTTCCACTCTGTATCCATGGAAACTGGCAGTTCCCTGCTGCCTGTCCTCGGTGGGTGGGGCACTCTCATCAGTGTTCCTCTGGCCTCGAAGGCCACTTTGCCTCCTGTTACACCTTCATCACCTGATACAAGGAATCAACTGCCACATTTCCTGTTCGTTTCTTATTCTTCATTTGAAAGCTGCTTTTTGCCTTTCCGTTTTCAGTGACACAGACCTAGTTGTGTGATTCATTTTATGTGGAACAGCTCATAATTGATTAATGGTGGGATTAAGGGAGGAGTAAGAATTCTAGTTAAATTGTGCCACTTTTTCTTGACAATCACCTTTGATGGCACCTAACACTTGGGAATCTGTCAAGAGCTGAGGTCCCTTTCCTCAGAAGTAAGCCCACCCAAACAGGCATAGGTGCTTTTGCCTACCCTTCCATGTAGTTCACTGCTTAATGGCCAGTGTGATAGGGCTGTGGGCCATATGCTCTTGGAGCATCAGTGGGGCAGGAAAATGAGCAGAGGCAGCTTGTGGACGGCCATTTGTCCCCTGCCAAGGAGCCCAGAGCGTGATTCCCATGCTTGGCTGTCCTCACACAGAGAACAGTTGATTCCTATCTGATAAGCTCACGCATTTCAGTGCCAGATTGTGGAGTATAAGAGTATTGGTATTTACATAGAGATTGTTGAAATGTTCTAAATAGCATATTCACAGTGGCTGAGTAGAGGTAAATAGTCCCTCTTCTCTGTTCTGTTTCATTTTGTGGTGTCTGGGTATTTTAGAACAGTGGTCGCCTTTTGTGTCTCTTCAGATTCTAAAAGGAGTGAAAGAAATTCTGTACTACACACACTTTCTGTTTAGTCTGTAGTTTTGCTTGGTTTTAAAACAACAGTAGAATGTTCATTGTCTTTAAGAGTAATTCTAAGCAGTATGTGTTGCCCTATGTACTAAGTTGTCACTTTGTGATCTGCTAAGTGACTAAAAAAAAAAAATCTTTTTTCACATCTTAAAGTATTGTTAAACCAATTTCCATTTCATAATTTCAGCAAGTTTGGACTCAGTAGGTTTCTGGGATGTTGGGTGTTTGGGACACTAAAATACTGCCATTGTTTTTCTCCCCTAAGTTCTACTTTTCATAGAGGTAAAAACTTTTTTCTGTGCCTTTCACTTAAAGTTTTTCTTTTAATTATTTTTATGACTGTGTACATTCTTGTTGAAAAAATACCTCCTGTGCAGTGTAGACCAAGGCCAAATGTGGAATGTCCCTTTCTCATCTCCTCGCCACCATCCCATACCACACTCCAGAAGCAGCCGGGCTGCCTCTTGTGTCCGTGAGAACCTGCAGACCATCCATGTGTGTCACGTGTGTTGGGGACATATACACACAACTACATACCTTTTTAAAAAAATTTTTTTAAGTAAGCTCTGCACCCAACATGGGGCCTCAACTCATAGCCCCTGAGATCGAGAGTCACATGCTCCAGTGACTGAGCCAGCCAGACGCCCTCCCCTTTTTTTTTTTTTAAGAATGAGATCATGCTACACCTGTAATTCTGCAACATGGATGTCCTTTCGTGTTACTATATTCACATTTTTTGCTAGTTAAAACAACATTGCATCATAGAGATATACGTTCCTTTATTTAACTGCTCTTCTGTGAACAGTTTTTTTGCTCTGACCCACATTTAAAATAGGAAAGTGTTGTTGGACTATCACTGTAGCGCACATTTCCGATAAAATGTCTTTACCTTTTTTTCCTTCTTAACTACAGGGACCTTATGATGTAGTGGTTCTGCCGGGAGGCAATCTGGGTGCGCAGAATTTATCTGAGGTAAAAACCGTATAGAGGAAGTATTTCAGCATCTGCCTGTGTTCTGTTGGTTTTGTTACTAAAATATTTTAGGAAGGAGGCTGGGAATAAACTAGGACCAGGTGAAATGAACAAAATGGTGTTCTGGCTTAATTAAGAAAAACATCTCTAGTGACATTTACCACGTGAGTAAGTGGCATTGGTGGAACAATTACTTGGGAACAGATTCTGTGTCTGCAGTCTGCAGGAGAAGAATGAATCTAATTTTGCGTTTTTTGAAGGTTTAAGTGTAAAAAGCTAGGAGACCGTGGGGCTGGGGGCCGGGAGCTGCCACTGGGGGTGAAAAATGGCATCAGAAGAGGCCACTGCTTCTTCACTGAAGTCCTCTGTGAGGAGTCAGCCTATAGGAATAGCGGGAGAGGAGGGAGGGGCACGGCAGACAGAAGCTTACAAAGCAGGTCGAATCTGACGTGTGGGACTCTGCTGGACCATGTTCCTTACTCTGCCATCTGAAAACACCCAAAACACCACATACCCTTCCTTCCTCCTCCTTTCTCCCAGAAGCACAAAATGGCAAGGGTCAATTTACCCAAGGGCAGTTGCTTTTCTCATCTCATCTTTAAACATCTTTAAAAAAAGGATGCCTTTCTCTTAAAATAAATGCTTTGGTTAGGTCTAACAATGTAGAAACAGTATGAATTTGAGAATTTTTCTAATTATGATTTAGAAATGTTGTTATAAAACAGAATCTGTTTTCAGTTTAACTGCAAGATCTTTACCCAGAGTTTCCAGCTGATGATTGACCTTGTGCTTTATGATAACTTGATGTGTTTGGGCTTTCTTTGAATAGTCTGCTGCTGTGAAGGAGATCCTGAAAGAACAAGAAAAAAGGAAGGGCCTCATAGCTGCCATCTGTGCAGGTAATGTGCAGACCCATCCTGTGTTAAAATGTGTTCTTGGGTTTTCTTCAAAAATTAGAAGATTTTGTTCCAGATACTTCTTTCCCTTCACAAAGCATGAAGGGCATCCATATTGGCATATTTAGTTTGGGTGGCATGAAGTTGGTGTCATTTCAGAAATGAGTACAGTTGTTCTATTTTCTGCCTCTCTGTGCTTTTGGTCTATGTTCTGTGAAACTTAATGGTTTCCGTGTTTGGTTGACCTCTGAGGAAAATAACGCCCTCTGGAATTCAGTAAACAGCTTGTTAAAGCAAATCTCTGTGCCAGAAAGTGTATCTGCCAGCACCCAGTCAGCAAGAATCGGTCAGACATAAACATAACAGCTCTGTCCTGTGCTTGCCCTACGGATTCAGAGGCCTCGGGGTGCTTTCTGCCTGACCCTCAGTGTTAAAATTGAGCTCTTAGGCACTGTGTTATCTGTCACGTAATTTAGAGGAAGGTCGTTGGTACTTCATAGATGTCCCCACATCTTGGAAACTTGATATTTTGTTTTCTGATACCATTGTAAAATCCTGTCTTCATTCTCCAGTGTCATGATATTCTGCCATCTTGCATTTTTTCCATAGTATGAATTTGGCCAGTGCCTTCTTTGTTATTGGTCTTTATGAAATCTTTGTCAAAAGAACAAATAAATAAATGAGTAGACGGATGGTTAGGTAAAATGACATGATGTTTTGTTCAGTACGATGGATTTGTTAAAGAAGTTATAAGCCAGGGATCCTGGGGACTTTGCATAATTACAGCAGAGATTCTCGAGAGTTCTCTCAAGGGGGTCATAAGGTGAAAGCAGATACTAAGACATTATTTGTCCTTTTCCTTCGCATTCTCACAGGAGTGACACGCCATCGTTTGGGCGTGACACGTATGCTCAAGTATTGTTGTGTTGTAAAAATTTCCCAGTTTTAATTTCTAACACAGCAGTTACTGATTGATGCAACCCACCTAAAAGCTCAGGGGTCCAAAGACCTGGATGTGTGAGGACCTCACAGGTGGCCACCCTGGTGGGCCCTCTCCTCAGGTTCCAGTCAGCACTAGCCTCTTGACCTGCCCTCTGAGCACAGGGCTTTCTCCTTGCTGAAGAATACTGCAGTCACTGCGGCCACAGCCTCATTCTTAGGTTCTCTAACCAAAGGAAGAAAGGAAGGGTTTGGGGTGGATTGTTCCCTTAAGACTCTGCTGAAAGTAAAAACCACGTTGTCAGTTTGTCCTTCTGTGTCACTAAGGTGGCAGAATTATTAGCCACATCTGGTTCACTGTTTCGAGCTCAGGCAGCTTGAATGCCATGCTAAGGAGCTCAGACCTTGTAATCACTTAAATCGGTGTTGGCCATAAACAGCACTCTTGCCTTTGTTTGTATTGTTGAACATCCTGTACTGCTCCTCTGGGTACGGCCAAAAATAGGAAGTCTAATGAAAAATAAGATGCTGCTTAGGTGTTGCAGTTAGGAACTGGGAACTGCGTACTAGACTGAAAGACTGTTTGCTTAGCCCCTGGTATTGAGGGGTAGTATGGAGTCACTGAGACAGAAACTGGAAGGGAGACTATCTTGATAAGAAAATAAAATGACATTCACTCTGGGTGGGAGAGGAAAAGGAGCCTGGAGGCAAAGTGTCCAGGAGTTGTCAGATGCCTGGCTCTGAGTACCAGCTCGGGGACATGCTTGTAGGGCGGGGTGGATGACTGTGATGTTCTCTCTGCACATCACCACACGGTGGCGCTGTTGGCTTCCGTGTCGTGGCGGCCCAAGGGACTCCCGCCTGCGGTGCCCTCTGCTCTCAGCTCGCTGGGTCCCTGCTGCAGACTCAGCAACATTTTCATCTGCCAGAATTTCAAGTAATGGCAGGTAAATATCTCTTCTCGAATTCTCCAAATAGGATTCTTAAACCCCAGAAAGCAGTAATTAGGGGCTTACCATGATGAGTAAGGCATCGTGGAATTCCTACATTCAGCCGAAACAAATTTATTAACGTTACTGTAGGCAGCAATTTTATCAGCTCAAGGGAGCAGCCTAAAAATTCCTAACTGACTGTACGATCACCTCTTGAGGTTTGCTTTCAACTACAAAATCATGTAGGGAATTATTTCTTATCTCTTAAAAATCTTAACAAAGTAAGAATTCAGGGTAATTGATGATTCCATTCAAATAAAAATTGAGTGGTAATTATTCAGACTTTACAGACTTAAAATTTGCCACTATACATGGCTGTCTGGTGTGTAGCATAAAAGTAAAGTGGTGAGAGACATCAAATCTATTTGAGGCTTTTGATTTAGGAGCTATAAATCGGGACTTGGCTTGATGTCAGGCGGAAGGCTTATGTAATTAAGTATTATTTGTTGATCTTCCTGTGAACAGCAGCTGTGATCTAGCTGGTAGGTATAGTCTATAACTCCCTTTTCCTTGGAACTGTTGATAAATGAAAGGTCAGTGAGAGCAGGTGTGTGCGTTGGCTGAAGCTAAAGCGCACAGGCTCTGTCCTCAGCTCTTAGCCATGGCCCCCCAACCCATTCTGAAGGTTACATTGCTGTTCCAAAGCATGTTTTTCTGGGTGTGGTGTGAGACTTGGAGAAAAAAAGTTAGAGTAACTACTTTTTTGAAGTTTTAAGGTAACAACAAAGTTATAAGATATTTTTTGTCTTAGTCCTTAGTTGAGGACCATTACATATGAAATATGCTTGTGATTATCAATGAAATTGACCATTTTCAGTGAATACATTTGGATAAAAGTCTCAAGTTAGCAACTGCATATTTTAGAGGATCAGAAACTGACATTTGTACATGGTCTTAAGTGATTTTTAATAAAGAAATATTAATGTCCTTATATCTCAGATTTCTGGGCATTTCGCAGGGCTGGACAATGTCCTGTTGATTGTACTAATCCTACCACCTGGGATATTTGGGTGGGTAGGTGGTAGAATGTGTGCTCATCTTTCATTTTCAAGTAGAAAAAATTAGTCTGTAAGGTAGTAGTCAAGTCCAGAAGTTGGGAGAGCACCAGCTGCCTTTCATGTGCTAAGAGGAAGGCGTTGGTGGTCTCCCCTCCTTGGACCCCTGGGACCCTTGCTTACCGTTCCTTGAGGCGGGGGGGGGGGGGGTCACTCTATGTTTATCTGGATGCTCCTTGGTGTGATTTGATTAGATGGGTATTGAAGTATTTTGAATTTGTACACTTTTGCCTGATGTGCTCAGCAGATGGTTTATTACAAACATACTTTACCTCTCGTATGAAAAAGTGTTTAATTTCAGAATCATAATTATATTTTAGGTAAGAGCCTCCTGGTTTTGAAGAATACTTCTGCTGTTGGAATTTTTAAACCATTGGTTTTTCTGTATCCATCCTTAAGTCTTTTTATTAATCTTCTTTTTAGGTCCTACGGCTCTTTTGGCTCATGAAATAGGTTTTGGAAGCAAAGTTACAACACACCCACTTGCTAAAGACAAAATGATGAATGGAAGTAAGTATATGCTTCTATTTTAATGTACAGAAAGATCTTCTCAGAAAGCTGCTGTTTAGCATTGTTTCCCACCCAGGATAACCCTATGCAGAGAGACTCTGTGGGTTGAGGTGCAGGCTGTTCCCCGCTTTCTTCTCAAGTGTTCCAGCTAGAGAGAGGGCAGAGATGGGGAGCGAGCAGTGGGGCAGAGGTGGTGCATGCCTGTCTCTGTGTGCGCCCTGATGGGGGCTCAGGGGCTAAGCAAAGGCCAGCCGGGGACCCAGTTGTCCTAGATGGGAGTGATTATGAAATGCCAGGTTAACTAGGATATTTTACTAAACACTTTGCCAGTGGCCTGAGGGTAAACTTTAAACCTCGACAGCAATTTCAGAAAGTGTCCTTTTGCCCGCAGTCCAAAGTAAAGTGAATATTGCTCTCTTCCTGGGTGGCGGGTCTGTTTCCTTGGGTGACATGGTTTTGTTTTGGTTTGGTTTAGATTTATTTATTTGTTTTTAGAGCACGAGGGGAGGGAGGAGGGGCAGAAGAAGGGGAACAAGCAGACTCCCCGCTGGACAGGGAGCCCGATGCCAGGCTCGATCCCAGGACTCTGAGGTCATGACCTGAGCCAAAACCAAGAGTCAGTCACTCAGCCGACTGAGCCACCCACCTACTCCCTTAGGTGGCATGTTTCTTTTATAAATACCAGCTAGACAGCTAACTTTTACTAATTTATTTTTATAAAAACAATTTCTGTTTGTGGTATAGAGTGTAAACAGTACGAAAGGAGGGTGAAGTCAAAACATGGATAGGCCTTTTCGCACTTCCTCACCCCCTTTTTGCTTTTCGGAGGTGACTTCTGTTAGAAAGTTCCCTGAGTTTTCTCTGCACATACTCATTATCCTTTGTATTTAAATGTTTTTACTCAAATGAGATCTGTTAAATATATTGTTCTGCAGCTTGCTTTTTAAACCTAAGATTGTATCCTCTGGGCGGGGTGGGGGTCATCTATCAAGCGTATCTTTAAATAGAAGGCAATGTCTAATTCACAGCAAAGCCGTATAACCAAGCATCTGAATGTGCAGCTACGTACTGACTGATCCTTCCTCCTAAGAGCTACCACTTCTCAGCATGAGATTCAGAACACCAGCCAGGTGGTGTCTTTTGTCAGACAGGTGGCGTCTTCCTCTGCCGTCTGTCCCTGGAGTGCCTGTAACAGAGAGGCAGAGACCCAGGAGCTTGTAAAGAGAAAGAAAGCTCACACTAGTGTGGATAATGGCAAGAGCATCTGAAATTTCCAGTTAGAAGCCAGAAGTGGTTCGGTTGGCATTCAGCCAGCAAAGAGACGGAGTGGCTGGCTCTGGGTAAGACATCAACCAACCTAATTTCAGTGAACAAAAAGACAACACAGTAACATCAACAGCTGATTTGGGAACTGCTATGCCGGGGCTGCATCTTCTCCCCTGCCTCAGTCCTGCTAGAGGCTGATACTGAACTAAGACAGACAGGAGGGCAGGGTAGCATCGCTTATGCTGTCTTTACAGGCGAGTCGAGTTGTGCATTTTCACTGTATTTTTCCTTCTGAGTAACAGACCTTGCATTTTAGAGCAGTGTTAGGTGCACAACGAAAGGAAGCAGAGAGCGCAGAGTTCGCACACGTGCCCTGCCCAGGTGCGCGCACTGTCTTCTCATCTTCTTCTCCTGCACCTCAGCGGGACCTGTGTTACAGTCCATGAACCTGCCCTGACACGGCGTCGTCGCCCCAAATCCGCCGTTGATAATTAGGGTCGCTCTTGCTGTTGGACATTCTGAATATTTTTAAATTTGGTCCAAGGTAGTATTTTCTTGAAAACCTATAATTTTATTTTAGTTGCTGGAAAGATACTAAGTTGTCAATAAAACCATCTGTGTGAAAAAAAAAAATTTTTTTTTAAAGGCTCTGGCTACTGGGCATTTTTTAATGTAGGAATAGAATTTACTTGGGGCCCCTGGGTGGCTCAGTCGGTTAAGTACCTGCCTTCGGCTCAGGTCATGATCCCAGGGTCCAGGGATCGAGTTCCACATCGGCCTCCCTGGTCAACAGGGAGTCCGCTTCTCCCTCTCCCCCAGCCCCCTGCTTTTGCACACGCGTGCGCACTCTCTTTATATATATTTTTTTCTGTCAAATACATAAGTAAAATCTTTACATCTAAAATCTTAAAAAAAAGGAATAGAATTTACTTGGAGCTAATGGAGAGGTTTTGGAGAGTTGGAAAGATCGGAATCAGGTTTCCTTTAGTCATTACGACATATTGGGGGAAGGGTCGAGTAGTAGGCCACGTTCCTCCTTTATCTGAAGGTAGATCTGTTGTGTCTGTTCTTTTTGTAATGTCTCAAGAACACTGAGGTTGATTAGGAATAGAAGCAGATTAGATTGTTAACTCTCAGGGTTTATAAAGTACATTCACAAGCATCATCTCCCCGGAGCTTCCCAGGCCCTGGTGCCCAGCAAGGCAGGTACTGACTTCCCAAGTGAGGAAACCGGCTCCGGCTCGAGAGGCCAGGCGACTTGGCCAGAGTCAGGCTGGAACTCCGGCCCCACCTCTGTCTCAGGGAGGCTCCCACACACTGTTAAGTTACGAGGGATTGAGTTCAGCCAGTGAGTCCTACTGCGAGGAAAAAAATGCTTGAAACATCTGCCCCTTCAGAGTGCTCCGGGAGGCGGAGCTTGTCACCTCCTGGGTGGCTCGTCTGGTCCTCCGCATCCTCATCATGTACCTAGTAGATAAGCGTGAAATTTTTGCTCCGATAAGCAATCCGGTCAGAAGGACACAGTCTTCCTGTTTCTCAGTTTTTAAATGAAGAAACTGTGACTTTAATAGCCTTTTCAGTTCCTCCCTGCCCGTTGTGCTAGCAAGCATCTGGAGGCCCCGTCGAGTGGCTGAGCCGGGAGGAGCTGCGTCCCTGGGGCCAGGCGGTGTGGGTGTGGCTCCCGCTGTGGGCGGTCTCCTTCCCCCGCCAAGCCTCAGTTTCTCACCTGTCCTCTGAGGATACCGGTGGCCCCTGCTTCACAGGGCTGTTGACAGGCCCTGTGAGTTAGTATGTGTAATGCCCACAGAATGTTGCCTGGCACGAGCCCACGCGGGGGAAGGGAGAGCTGGTAAGTGCCCAGCTCTGGGCTGAGTGCTGGGAGCCGGGCCGTGAACAGGCTGCCCTCACCCGGCTGCCGTCTGTTGAAATGGCACCACCACTTGGCCCTGCTCTTCCACGGGACTGGACTCCCACAGCGGTCCTGGGAGGGTTGTGTCCTCCCCATTTTACAGAACAGTGAGGCTCAGAGCCATCAGGCAGCTACTTAATGTCAGCCCTGGGATTTGAACCCAGAGCAGCTGGGTTCAGCGGTCAGTGACTTTTACTTAAAGGGCCCGAGTAAATATTCTGGGCTTTCGGGGACTTCGGGTCTGGATGGCAACTACTTTGCTGTCGCAGAGCACTGACCAAGCAGGTGAGAGGTGTGCCAGTAAAAGCCACTCTTCGTTGCTGACCCCTCGGGTCCAGTTGCCTTTTCTCTGAAGAGACTTCTGGATTTGGGGTGCTTGCTTAAAGCTAAAAAGAAATTAATAATGCTTTATGCCAATTGGCTGTGGGGTGTAAATTTGCAGAGCTCCGAAATCCTAATCAGCGAAGCTGTGTGCGCCCTGCTCGCGGTCCCTGGGCATGCGCGTTGTCCTGGTCTGTCACTGCCACTAGGTGGAGGTAGTTGGTTAGTGTAGTCTTTTTGCTCTTCCTGGTTGCAATTGTGGAAAGAACTGTGGAACCTTGAAAGGTCTTTAACCAGTTTAAGCTGTGTTTGTCATATTTTGCCCACAAAGAGATTGTTCGGTGAGCCATTTAGAAATTGCCTCACACTGCTGCAGTCTGGGCAGTTCGTCTCTTAGCTCTGGAAGACTTGACCCAGCCAGTTTTTTCTGGTTTAGCGTCTAAAATTGCCTTGGCCCGGTTTAACCATCAGTAAATGGGTTAGATTATGAAAACCTTTCCCTTCAAACCAGACCCTCTTTTCTTCTATGGTAGGGTAACTAGGAAACTTGTGATGTGCTGTGTTCAGTTATTTTAGTGGGTGACTTGATTTCTAATGAGGATAGTAAAATATAAACTACTCTAGGTGTTCTTGATCACTTGGAAAGGACGTGAACATCAATGCGTGGTTTCGAAAGCTCGTGAATACAGCAGAAGCAGAGCGGTATCAATGTGGCGCCAGCACCCACTCCATTGCCCAGGACAGGCAGCTGGGAGTCATCCTCACCACCTCCCCGTGTTCAGTCCTGCATTTTCTCTCTTAAGAGGTTTCTCAGACCTTCATTTCTCCCCTGTCAACACTCTCTGCGCCCAGGTCACCATAAACTCCCACCAGGATGGCAAGTTCTTTTCTGTCTTCTCCTTTGGTTCCTTCCAGTCCAGTCTTTGTGCAGGTCTGACTCAGAGGGTGTGCCCACCAGGCCGAGGAGTACAGGGTCACCTTTAGGTGCTGGAGGAAGTTGGCAAAGCCTTCTCCTGGGGGCAGAACTGGATATGCTCTCATGTGCACTTTGGAAGGGTGACCTTTTCTGTGGTGCTGAGCAGCGAGTGGAGGGCAGGGCAGCGTGGACAGAGGGCTGGCAGGCGGAGAGCCTGTGTGAAGGGGCAGGTGCGGGGAGGAGAGAACAGGCGTGTTGTTTGCAGGTTCACCTGACACTTGGGGGCACCTCCATGGTACCGTTAGTGTTCTTGCCACAGGAGGCCGACGGAGGCCCAGTCTTTTAAAGAGCAGACAGTAAACGAGGAGACTTTTCCTATCGTGTCAGTGCTGGGAGGCGCTGGTGGAGCAACCCGAGGGGCCTGATCTGGGGAGGGATCACATACGAGGGGTGGTGGGAGGTGAGAAGAGCTTTGTGCGCAGTGGAAGCAGGGGGCTGGGGAGCGCCAGGTGGGAGCCCGGTGGGGACAGGTTGGGGAAAGTGGGGGGCCACGTTGTGGGGGCACTGCTGCTCCTGAGGAGTTCGGGCCTGGTCGGTCTGTGCACGGGCAGGGTTTGGTGACCATTTGTGCGGAGGGTGAGGCGTGAGGCCTTGGGGAGCTGATGCCGAGGAAGCCCAGCTTTATGGCTGTGATTTGCCCAGATGTCATATCATTCACTGAATTCGAATATAGGAGAGAAGCACATTCTTGTTTTATTGTATTTGTCTCCAAAAAGCCAATTGGGGAACACAGAAGGAAAGGGGTGCCCAAGAAATGAATGTGGTTTCTCCCTCTCCCCCTCCCTGTGTGTCCTGTGTAATTTCTGCTTGTTTGTTTTTGAGACAACAGACTGTGTGTGTGTGTGAGAGAGAGAGAGAGAGAGAGAGAGATACAGGCAGGCTGACAGGTAGTCTGTGTGACATGGAATCTGTGATAGGCGGTCTGTGACAGGTAGTCTGTATGACAGGCGGTCTGTGACGGAGTCTGCGTGATAGGTGGTCTGTGACAGGGACTCTGTGTGACAGGGAGTCTGTGTGACAGGCGGTCTGTGACGGAGTCTGTGTGACAGGAGTCTGTGTGATAGAAGTCTGTGTGACGGGTAGTCTGTGAGGGAGTCTGTGTGA